TAGAATCTGTAAAAGAGAATTTAAAAGAAACAAAGCTAGGATAACCTGGAGCTGTCACTTAGACAAAACCTCCTTCTTCAAGGAGGAAGAAGCAGTGAACAGCTGCAATGCACAGGCTGAGGAACTAAAAGGCAGCCAGTGAGCTCAGACACGGAAGTGGGACACGGTGACCTAAGCAAGTGGAAGCAGCAGCAAAGGAGTTGCAGTCCCAGCCTAACTGCACTGAGGATCAAGCTGGGCTGTCTAGAGGAAGCGGCACTGAATGGGGCCTAAAGCGACAGGAGGTGTCAGTCAAGAAACAATGTATGTGGGTGGGGTGGGCGGAAGGAAGAGGCATGTCCCAGACAAGCACTGTGTGGAGGTGGGGAGAGAACTGAGGACAACAAAGGTGCCGAAGAGAACAGATGGGAGACTGAACAAGTCAGACCGTAGACCAAGGAGGAGATTCAGGGTAGACCAGGCGTGAAGAAGGCCGTGAGGCTCAGGGGTAGTGACAGAGTATAGGACAGAGAGGTGACTGACAGGGTGGAAGTTGGGGGGGCTTCGGGGCTTTCTTCATTCTTATAGATTTATGATTTAAGGTCTACGTAACTATTCTCTTATTCTTAGAGGATCACCCCCACATAAAGCTATTATAAGCACTTCAGATACTGACCCCCCCAACTCTAGCAGGAGTATGACATTTAATTATGTATATTTATGGTATATATGTATATGATGTGCAGATGCTCCTTGACTTACAATGAGGCTAACTCCCAATAAATCTTAAGTTGAAAAATCCTAAATAAAACACTGTAAATTGGCCAGGTGCAGTGGCTCACGCCTTATAATCCCAGCACTTTGGGAGGCCGAGGTGGGCAGATCACAAGGTCAGGAGATAGAGACCATCCTGGCTAACACGGTGAAACCGGGTCTCTACTAAAAATACAAAAAATTAGCCGGGTGTGGTGGCGGCGCCTGTAGTCCCAGTTACTCGGGAGGCTGAGGCAGGAGAATGGTGTGAACCAGGGAGGCGGGGACTGCAGTGAGCCGAGATGGCGCCACTGCACTCCTGCCTGGGCAAGAGTGCGAGGCTCTCTCTCAAAACAAAACAAAAAACAAAAAAACCCCACTGTAAGTCAGAGACTGTCTGTGTATTCATATGTGCATGTGTCTCTATCACATATAAGACAGTCTGCTAATTGACAGAGACAGACTGTCAGGCGGGCAGGAAACAGGAAGAGGGTTAGACTGGAACCAAATTCTATGACTGTATCTCATATCACTGTATTCCTATGAGCAAAGAGTGAGTCAGTGGAAAAGGGGCAGTGGGGAGCACACCAGAACCAGAATGATGCTGTAACTCTGCAGCCAGTCCACAGGGAGATGCTCTAATGAGAAGCTCTTCTGTTTAGCCCAGCCCTACATCAGGTACACAGAACCCTCAAATCCTGCCTGGGAGGCAGGGTCTGATACAATCACCCACTGAAAATAAGAGACCTGGGCTGGGCATGGTGGTTCACGCCTGTAATCCCAGCACTTTGGAAGGCCAAAGTGGGCGGATCACCTGAGGTGAGGAGTTCGAGACCAGCCTGACCAATATGGGGAAACCTACTCCCTACTAAAAACACAAAAATTAGCTGGGTGTAGTGGTGGGCGCCTGTAATCACAGCTACTCGGGAGGCCAAGGCAGGAGAATCACTTGAGCACAGGAGGCGGAGTTTACAGTGCCATTGCACTCCAGCCTGGGCGACGAGTGAAACTCAGTCTCAAAATAAACAAATAAATAAAAACACATAATTTTTTTTTTGAGACAGTCTTGTTCTGTCACCCAGGCTGGAGTGCAGTGGTGTGATCTTGGCTGACTGCAGCCTCTACCTCTCAGGTTCAAGCAATTCTCATGCCTCAGCCTCCCAACTAGCTGGGATTATAGGAACCCACCACCATGCCCGGCTAACTTTTGTATTTTTAGTAGAGATGGGGTTTTGCCATGTTGGCCAGGATGGTCTCCAACTCCTGACCTCAAGTGATCCGCCCACCTCGACTTCCCAAAGTTCTGGGATTATAGGAGTCAGCCACTGCACCTGGTCACAAACACCTCTTAAACGGAACTTTGATACCCTTAGTCATATCAATAACCACACCTTAATACTCAGAAGAAATACGAGCCTCTTGCTCATTATACAAATGAGGGTATGTGGTAAGTGGTCAGCAATGATGTGGCTGGCCAATAAGCCCTACAGCCTTGGACAAATACTTGCCCTCTGTGCCTCAGTGTCCGCATCTTTAACTGAGTAGAACGCCTCACCTCTGTGGAACCAGTGGCCGCTGAATGAAACACGCAGTATGGTTCCTCGCACCCAGAAGGCAACTCTATCAGCTAATTCGCTCACTATTCACAGGTGCCTAGTCTGGGTAAGGCACTGCTCCAGGGGTTAGGAACAGAATGGGAAACAGCAACAAAAAACCACCCAAGGAGCATATATCCTAGCTGGACAGATGAGCAACACATTAAGTAATAAACACATGTTATATCAGAAGGGCTGGAGAAAATGTCTCTTCTTACAGGTATGAGTGCTATTCAATAAAACAAAGCTTCACCCCAGGAGGAATTGGAACCAATGTTTCCGGCTCTTAGCAAGGGCTTTATTCATTTCCAGAAGAGACTTGGCAGGATGTAGCTAATCACAATGGCTTAGACTTAGAGGAGGACTCAGAGGAGGTTGAAGAAAGCCGGCACAGAGCCAATGACAGGCAGTTCTCACCCAGAGTTATTTATTCCTAAAGCTCAGGGGCCTCGAACATTGGCCTCCCTTGAAGGTTTGCAGGGACAAGAGGAATGAACTTGATCAAAGCAGAAAGCAGCAGACTATGCTCAGAGAGGCAATGAGGCAGGTTCAGATGCCAAGTAACCAGGTCTTCCATAAAATTATCTTATGGCCCTGGTTAAGCTGCCACCAGCGATCAGGCTGCAACCAAAATCCCCAGGGTCCTGAAAGGCGCAAAGGGCTTTCACATCTTTCAGCCAAGATGGCCTAGGCTTTGGAGTCTCATACAAAAACAACGTAATTTCTGGAGGCCAGGAGAAAGGGTAAGATCATGAAGGAAATCTAAGGATCAACTAACTCCTCCAGAGGCCGATGGGCAGGTGTACTTCAGATGCTAGAGGCCGTCAACATTCTCGACACTTCCCCAGAGCCCACAGTCAGCACGGGAGGCAGGCTTGCCAAGCTACCTGGTGTTGATGGCCACTGAGCACAGAGCCTGCCAGAGAAGACCAGCTAGCAGCTTAGCTGCCTCTACTGTATCCAGAATTCAGGGTTGGTTGGGCTATAGAGATGGTTGTGAGATGCTCACAAATCTGATTATTTGACCCATACCAGGTGGGAGCAGCTGAGCAGTGCCCCACAATGGGAATTCTCTGACGGGCACACCAGAGGAGGCCTGATCTCAGACAGCACTTTCTCCGGCTCCAGGCTCCTCAACAGAGACATGTTCTTCTAGCCTTAGTCAGATGCATCTGTGGGCTAAGGAGCAATACAAGCTGTCACCAAAGGGCTAGCCAAACCCAGCTCTTTAAGGGCTTGCATCTTGGTGGAGAAATCCAGCATCCAGAAGTCCTAATCTAGACCCTCTTCAACTCTCAACACTTTACCTAGAAAGTAAACTAACAAGTCAGTGTCCCAGCCTGGGCAACATGGGGAAACCCTGTCTCTACAAAAAAATACAAAAACTTAGCCGAGCACAGTGGTGTGTGACTCTAGTCCCAGCTCCCAGCTACTTGGGAGGCTGAGGTGGGAGGCTCACTTGAGAGTGGGAGGTTGAAGCTACAGTGAGCCATGACCGCGCCACTGCACTCCTGCCTTGGTGAGAGTGAGACCCTGTCTTAAAAACAACAAAAACGCCGGGTGCGGTGGCTCACGCCTGTAATCTCAGCACTTTGGGAGGCCGAGGTGGGCGGATCACGAGGTCAGGAAATCGAAACCATCCTGGCTAACACAGTGAAACCCCGTCTCTACTAAAAATACAAAAAATTAGCCAGGTGTCTGCAGTTCCAGCTACTCCAGAGGCTGAGGCAGGAGAACAGCGTGAACATGGGAGACGGAGCTTGCAGTGTACAGAGACTGTGCCACTGCACTCCAGCCTGGGCAACAGAGCAAGACTCTGTCTCCAAAAAACAAAAAACAAAAAAACCAAATCTCTGTCTCAAAAAAATATCATAAACAAAACAAAAACACACATGCAAGTCAAAAAACCACTGGCTCCCAGTGAAGATAAAGAAAAACAGCCACACACAACAGGAATGCTCTGAAGGTGACAGAAGGCAGAAGGGAGAAGGGGGAGGAGGAGGTTCAAGGAAGTTAAAAGCACCACAAGGTAATGCAAAGAAGCACCAGGCTCCAAAATATCCAAGAATATTGCAAGTGCTCCCAAATAATCACAAGCATTGCCTACAGAACATAGGCCAAAGTCTTCATATCATATAGCCAACCTCCCCTCCCAACTCCTCCTCACTTTTCTGGGTTCATTTGCAGTTACAGACATGTGTTCCTTAAAAAAAATAAAGCATCTTGCTATGCAAAAACCCACCATTTGTGAGGAAAAATGGAATTAGGGGCACAACACTAAAAAATTTTGTCAGTGACACACATACACAAAACAATCTAGTGAAAATGGTAGTAAAGTTCTACACGTTAAATGGTTAAGAAATACAAGTAACTGTGATACTTTACCTTCAAAAAGGCCTGAGGCTTGCTCTGTGGAAGTGGGCCTCAGACAGTTTACGGCTTGTGAGTTATTGAGAAGTGGAGGCAAAGACAGTGAATGCTGTAACATCCGATGTACACAACTGTGGCTCACATAAAACAAGTCAACTGAGGTGACTGATCTATGTTGAAGGTGTGTATATTACATGGCTTGGTACAGCTGGCCTCAACTTTTCACGATCACCTAACGTTTCTCACAGATGACACTGTGTACAGCAAACTCTCAAGTGGTTATCTAATACAGCAGCCTCACTGGAACAAACTCATGTTTCCAAACAAACACTTCAAGCAGAACTGTACTTTACTCCAGGAATCCTGGAAGTCAGTTCAAAGTACCTGACTTTGGAACTCAAAGAAGGTCTGAAGTTGGCCAGGTTGGTCCTGCCACTCCCACCCTTTGGGGGAATTTCTGCTCATTCTTCAAGGCCTACCTCAAAGGGCTTCAATTTCTCTCACTCCTCCCAGTGCTGACTTAACCATTCCTTCTATACTCCCTTAAGACAAGAAACATAACTTATCAAATACTTATCAAGGTGTCCCCACCCATTAGCACAGCACTTGGCCCAAACATGTAAGTAAGATTTTTTTTTTCCCCACTGAAATTATCAAGGTCTGGGTTCACGCCTGTAATCCCAGCACTTTGGGAGGCCGAGGTGGGCAGATCACCTGAGGTTGGAAGTTTGAGACCAACCTGGCAAACATGGTGAAACTCCAACTCTACTAAAAAAACAAAAATTAGCCAGGCATGGTGACGGGCATCTGTAATCCCCGCTACTCAGGAGGCTGAGTCAGGAGAACCCCTTGCACTCGGGAGGCAGAGGTTGCAGTGAGCCGAGATTGCACCATTGCACTCCAGCCTGGGTGACAGAGTGAGACTCTGCCTCAAAACAAAACAAAAAAGAATGAAATTAGCAAACTCTAGGGCCAGGAAAGAGGCTCATGCCTGTAATCCCAGCACTTTGGGAGGCTGAGACAGGACTGCTTGAGCCCAGGAGTTCTGGACCAGCCTGGTCACCACAGTGAAACTCTTTCTCCACAAAATATTAATACCAAAAAAAAAAAAAACCTAGCAGGCTGTGGTGGCACACGCCTGTAGTCCCAGTTACTCAGGAGGCTAAGATGGGAGGATCGCTTGTGCCCAGGGAGGTCGAGGCTAAAGTGAGTTATGACTGTGCTACTGCACTCCAGCCTGTCATTCCGAACACTGACCCCCAGCAAAAGTTATCAAGCTGATCACATGCTTGAAAGAGATGGCAGATACCTTGAATACATGGCAGAGCGTTTTTGAAAAAGGAAAAAAATAATTTCAGAGATGGGGGAAATGAAGCCTTTACATTGCAAGTAAAAACAGTCACAATTAAGAAACAAATGGAGCCTTAAAAGCGGGACTGGAGCCAGTGCAGCGGTGTGCACCTGTATTAGTCCGTTTTCACAATGCTGATAAAGACATACTTGAGACTGGTCACCTTACAAAAGAGGTTTAATGAACTTAACAGTTCCACATGGCTGGAGAAGCCTCACAATCAAGATGGAAGGCAAGGAGGAGCAAGTCACATCTTACATGGATGGTGGCAAGCAAAGAGAGCTTGTGCAGGGAAACTTCCCCTTACAAAACTATCAGATCTTGTGAGACTTATTCACCATCATCAGAACAACATGGGAAAGATCTGCCCCCTGATTCAATTATCTCCCACCAGGTCCCTCCTACATGTGGAAATTCAAGATGAGATCTGGGTGGGGACACAGCCAAACCATACCATTCCACCCCTGGCCCCTCCCAAATCTTATGTCCTCACATTTCAAAACCAGTCATGCCTTTCCACAGTCCCAAGGTCTTAACTCATTTCAGTATTAACTCAAAAGTCCAAAGTCTCATCTGAGACAAGGCAAGTCCCTTCCACCTATAAGCCTGTAAATCAAAAGCAATTTAGTTACTTCTTAGATACAATGGGGGTGCAGGCATTGGGTAATTCCAAATGGGAGAAATTGGCCAAAACAAAGGGGCTACAGGCCCCATGCAAGTCTGAAATCCAGCAGAGCAGCCCAAATCTCAAAGCTCCAAAATGATCTCCTTTGACTCCATGTTTCACAACCAGTCATGCTGATCCAAGAGGTGAGCGCCCAAGGTCTTGGGCAGCTCCACCCCCGTGGCTTTGCAGGGTACAGCCTCCCCCCCGGCTGTTTCATAGGGTGGTGTTGAGTGTCTGCAGCTTTTCCAGGTGCACAGTGCAAGCTGTCAGAGGCTCTATCATTCTGGGGTCTGGAGGACAGTGGTTCTCTTCCCACCGTTCAACCAGGTGGTGCTCCAGTTAGGACTCTGCTTGGGGGCTCTGACCTCACATTTCCCTGCTGCAATGCCCTAGCAGAGGTTCTCCATGAGTGCCCTGCCCCTGCAGCAAACTTCTGCCTGGGCATCCAGGTGTTTCCATGCATCCTCTGAAATCTAGGTGGAGGTTCCCAAATCCTGATTCTTGACTTTGGTGTACTCGCAGGCTCAACACCATGTGGAAGCTGCCAAGGTTTGGGGCCTGTACCCTCTGAAGCCATGGCCTGAGTTCTACTCTATGTTGGCCCCTTTCAGCCACAGCTGGGGCAGCTGGAATGCAGGGCACCAGGTCACTAGGCTGCACACAGCAGAGGAACTCTAGGCCCAGCCCAGGAAACCATATTTTCCTCCTGGGCATCTGGGCCCATGATGGGAGGGGCTGCCATGAAGACCTCTGACATGCCCTGGCGACATTTTCCCCCACTATCTTGGGGATTAACACTTGGCTCCTTGTTACTCATGCAAATCTCTGCAGCTGGCTTTAATTTCTCCTCAGAAAATGGTATTTTATTTTCTAGCACATTGTCAGGCTGCAAATTTTCCAAACTTTTATGCTCTGCTTCCCTTATAAAACTGATTGCCGGCCGGGCGCGGTGGCTCAAGCCTGTAATCCCAGCACTTTGGGCCGAGACGGGCGGATCATGAGGTCAGGAGATCGAGACCATCCTGGCTAACACGGTGAAACCCCGTCTCTACTAAAAAATACAAAAAACTAGCCG